TTTTTTTAATTTAATTTATTATATTTACAATATCAAAATCAAATCATGAGCATCACTTAATAAATTTAACACCTTCCAATTCGACATTTTTTCATTCTTCTTTATGTTAGTTATTGAAAACTTATTGAGTGACTTCAGTGATTAAAGGAGTGTCATTCTTCTTTGAGGTCCAGGATTCAAGCAACTGTGTTTGTTAATTACTATTGAAAAACCTAATTTGACTTCGGTGAATAAAATTATGAACATATGTTATCTTATAACCACCAAATACTATTAAAAATATTAATTACTAATTTATTCGATTAATTAACATGTTAGATATAATGTCATTCTTAATTCTTCTTTATTTCTCGTCAATGTCCCCATAATCAAGGTTAAGGTTGGACAAAAGCTTTCTTAATTGACTTTCATTCCTTTTTTTTTCTCATTTTTTTAATCGAAATTACTATTTCCTTTTCTGTTGTTTTTTTGTCGGTTAGATAAGTTTAATTAAATAAAGTGAAAACTTTAAAATTATGAACAAAGATCAGAATATACATGAATTTTGATAATGATAGTATCAAAGCATTATTTTTATTTAATAATAAACTTTTGATGTGATATAATAGTTGCTAGAACCGACGACGCTTTTAACGAACTAAATTAACTAAAAAACAGTGTTGTCGTTTAACTAAAACAAACAATACGACTACTAGGTATATTAAGGATAAATTAGGTTTTTGTAAGTTAACTTTGTCTTTTTGTTTTAGTCAGTTAGCTTTAAAAGTTTTCAGTTTTACTACATAAATTTTTGGATTTTATTTTTTGTTTACTCGATCGTTAAGTGTCTAATATCTTTTAAATTGTTGGGGTAAATTTATGCAAAAAATCACTTGAAACTTTCCTCTCGGACCTAGATTTTTATACTCCCTTTTATTCACATGCGTCAAAGTATTTGCTTCCAAATCCAAACAATGGAAAGATCGAGAAAGATAAGAAAATGAATATATCTCGGTACCACGATGATTATACAATTAAGATTGCATTTTGAATCAAGATAAGGTCGAAGCCTTTATTTATGTTTTATTGATTTCGATATAAACAAATTTAGAAGAAGAAAAAAGAGAAAAAAAATAAATGTTTTGATATTAGTTACGATATAAATGATAGTCGACGATAGTCGAATAGTGATGAATAAGGATAAATATTAAGTTGAATTCATAAATAAAACTTCCAACATCGCAAAATTTTTCCAATTTCTTTATACACGTCTGGGTTAAAAAGAAAATTAAAAAATTGTGTGATAGAATTGAAAATTTTAAAGTTAGGTGACCAAAATTTAAAGAAAGATAAAGCTAAGTAGCTAAATGTGTAGTTTACCCCTGTAATAATTATCAATATAATAACATAAAATATTAACACGATCAACTGATGAATTTCAAGTCCTTAGGTTTAATTATTAATACCATCCCGATAACTTTAAATATAAAACATATGCTATAAATATAATATTTAATATTTTTAAAATTTTAATTTAATTGATATAATATTTTTAATACAATAGAGATAATAAATTCAAATATTTAAATATAATTGCCTTCCATTTATAAAGTTAAGAAATTGTCCTTAGTTTAAATTTTATATTACAAAAACATGAAAAATTCAACAAGCATAATAAAATATGTTTAATTAGTATGCTATGTTTTTATTTTTAAAGGAAAAATCTAATAAGTTTTTTCCTTTTTTATGTTAATAGAATGACATGAAAAGTACTAGCTGAGTTTCAAAAGATATTGTGTAGCAAAGGCACATGCATTGGACATTAAATCAGATCATAAAATAGACCGAAATTCCACTTTGTTGGTCTGTTTGTTTTATTTTTAAACAATTTTTCATTATATATTTTATTCAATCTAAAACAATTAATTTATTAAAATTGAGAGCTACCAAACCCCTTCATCACATGTAAGGATCATGGACAGTTGAGGCGGGTAATACCGCGTATCAATATCATGAACCATCAGAAATATTATTTTCTAAAAAATATATAAAATAAATCCGCGGTTTCTCTCTCAAGAGAGAGATTGAAATTAAAATATATGTATTTTATGCAACCGTTGTAGGCTGCATAATGCAAATAATGGTTTTGGTCTATCGTTTAGTCTAGAGGTGTGAAAAGAGGGTTTGACAAAATCAGGGATTTCTCCCTCTACATGCCACATGCATTGGATGATCATATATTGGATATGGTCAATGAGAAAGAGTGTAAACCGAATCGAAATTTAAATTTGATAAATTCGTCTAATTAAAAGTAAATTTAATTAGTTTATATGATAATATAATCCTGATGTTTCATTGAGAAAGAAATCAATATCTTGTATATCCTATTAGGACATCGGGAATGAACAATGAAAAATTTGACGAAGAGACGATAAATGTTGACATGCTAATGCCCTATAATTATAACAGAAAATCATGGCATTGGGTCACAACAAGAAGTCGAGTAGCAGTCGTCAAATTAGAGGAGGAGGAGGAGAACGAGAGAAAGCAACCTACAAAAAAAAAAAAAGCAAAGCAAAGGGAAAAGAAGACATATGTGGGGAGAGGAGGCAATGAAAGTCATGAGGGATGAGGAAGAAGGTAGAGATGACGACAAACAAGGGCTAAAGATAAGAGAGAAGTGAGAGTACAGAGTCGTTAAAAAAATATGAAAAACAAAGAAAAAATAAAAGGGGAAAAGGATAGATGATTAATGATCATCGATCAATCTAAGACTAATATCATCAATAGCGTTGGTGAAAGAGGTTAAGACAAATGTGAGGCACTAGAAAGAAAAGGAACATTAGGGTTTTAATTCTTATCTAACATTAGGGTTTTATTTCTTATCTAATTTTCTAAAAGTAACCATTTTCTCTTAGGGTCTGTTTATTTCACTGAAAACGTTTTTCGAAAAATGTTTTCTATAAAATGAATTATAGTTGTTGAAAAACATTTTCTGAAAAACGTTTTACGATGTTTGGAAGATATTGTTTAAACACTTTTTCCACTAGTTGACAAATTTTTAAAAATTATTTATTACAAATATTAAATACAATAAATAATATTATTTATCATAAAACTTATTATTATTGTTTTTAAAATATTAAAATAATTTATTTATTATTAAAATATTATTTTTATAATTTTTTTAATAAAATTATTAATATTGGTATATTTTATTGAAATAAAAAATATTATAAATTATATTAATTATTTATTAAAGTAATAGTGTTATATATATTTTAAAAATATTAATTAGTATATTTTAAATATCTTTATTAAAATATTATTAGATTATTAGATTAATATTAAATATATAAATAATATTATTCATTATTAATAATTTAATAATATTATTTTTATGAAATTAATAAATAATATAAATTTTATTAATAATTTATTATATATTATTAAAATAAAAATATAATATCTTATATTATTATAATATAATTGATTATTTTATTATAATATTAAAATATAATATTATATATTAGAAACATTAATAAATATATTTTAATAATTAATATTTTGATTAAAATGATATTAAAATATTTTATTAATATTAAATTAATAAAATAAAATTATTTTGATTATTTATTCTTTGAATTGAAAAGTTTGGAAAATGACTTACGAAAAATCAGACCGTATGTCACTTTTCAGAAAACACAAAGGAAATTATGTTGACCGGAAAAATGTTTTACGTTGACCAACCAGTTTTCCTCCAACCAAACACTGGAAAATGAGGAAAACATTTTACGGAAATCGTTTTACGTGAAACAAACAGACCCTTAGTTTATAAAACATAAAGTAATAAAATAAATTTAAATATCATTACTATTCGATTAATATATGTTTTAGTAAAGAATTCGATGAAAGAGAGCATAAAATACCATTCAAGTATAAAATGATTCTCCAAATCATAAGTATTTGCTTAGAGAGATGCATGCCAATCAATAAGTGTGAACGCATGACTCGAGACCAACTACATAAATTTAGATATCTAAACAATCAAACCTTTTCTAGTCAGCTAAAGTAATAACATAAAACCTTAAGCGCATAATAATTCCAATGTGCTGTCGTTTTCTAATAACATACGCTGTTGCTTTTAAAATCACATTATTGCCATTCACAAATTAAAATACGGACCACCCTAGCACTGATTTAGTACCATTTTATTTACTTATTTTCTTAATGAATTCATAATTTGTTATAAACTATTAAGATTTAAGATGTTTGAAGATATTAGATATATCACCTCATTAAATAATTGATATTTGTTCATTGAATAGCGTCATCTAATTATCCACCAAATTTAAGTTAATTAGATATATAGTATAACAAATATATAATTCTATATAAATAATGTATATAATAATTATTGCATGTAGTCTTTTCTTATTCAAACTTATTATTATTGATTTTTTAATAGAAATTATTATTATTGGTAATAAACTATAATTTAAATTTTTTGACAACAAATGAGCAAATGGATCGTATTTTGATTCTGTTTAAATAGTTTTATATACAAATTATTTTCTTAATTCATAAAAAACCATAATGTCTATATATGCATCTTTATTTACTAATTGAAGTGAAAATATTAAATCATATTTCTTAATTTTACCGACGATTTCTAGTCTCTTCGCCATAAATTATTTTCTTTTTGTTAATTGTTTTGCTGAAGTTCTTCATTATTGAAGTGAAATAATAAAATAAAATATCACACCCACTGTTTAAATTAAAGGTATTCTAAGCACATAGATATTTTTGTTTTTCAAATAAAATAATATTCATTGACGTGCTTTCGCTTTCTCAAGTCTTGACTAAGAACATCAAACCCTATTTTTTTTAATTAAAAAGTGACTACTTTTAACCCTACGAAAATATTCCCAGCTTTATTTGCATCTAAATCTATTTTTTAAAGTAAATTTTACAAGTGGAATAAAACACACTTCAAATCCCACATAGATTGAGTGCAGTTTCTATGTTCGTTTACACAAGAAATGATTACTTTGAGCAATTGTTTATAAAATAAAAAATAAAAATATTAGGAAATAAAAGGTAACTGTAAACTGAAAAACCAGACTTAACGGTCATCTTGTTCGCGATCATGGAAAGATTGAAATGAAAGGCGGAAAACCCAATTGTTGCGTGTTTTCTTTCTTAAGCTTTTCAACTCTTCGTGGCTTTGGGTGTTAATGGTGGCGATGGAACTAACGAATGATTCCAACCGTTGGATGGCGATTTGCAGGGTGTTTTCCGACATGTTGGCGAAGCAAACTCGGAACCAGCCCGGTTCGACGCAGTGGCACGAAGAACCAGGCGAAATGTTCAGTTTAACATCGTAAACTATCTTCTCCCAGAGCTCCATTTCGGCTTCGAATGTGTCGGAATTCAAGAGGTGTCTCATGTCGACCCAGCAGAACAGGCCGGCATTGCTATCTAAGCAACGAATGCCGGCCTTTTCCAGGCCGGAAATCAGGTCCCGTCGTCTCTGTCGAAGCCGCCTGTGGTTTTCCGACACGTATTCTTTCGTGAACTTCTTGTCGGATAACATGGCAGAGAGGAGATACTGCGTTTGAGAAGAAACAAGGCCGAAGCTCGACATCTTCGTTGCGGCGGCAACCACGATGGAATCGTTGGAGTAAATCGCACCGATTCGAAAACCGGGAAGACTGAGATCTTTAGAAAGACTGTAAACCAAATGAACTCTTTCCCATACTTGAGTTTTCTCCAGATTTTTATCCTTTAAAACTTCCATTACACTAACAAACGACGGAGAGTTAAAAACGGTGCCGGAGTAAACCTCGTCGCTGATTAAATGAATTTGTTTGTCGTCGATGAAGTTAATGAGCAAATCTAATTCTTCTCTCGCCATCGTCGTCCCCAAAGGATTCGAAGGGTTGGTTATTAAAACCCCTTTGACTGTGAGGTTCTTTTTCTGAGCTTGTTGATAAGCTTCTTCAATGGCGGACAAAGTGATTTTGAAGCCATTAGAACCGGTACAATGAATTGGTATAATTTCAACCCCAGTTCGCCACTTGAGATCTCTATCAAATCTATAAGAAAAATAAATAAAGTTTCAGTTAATAACGTATGTTTTCATGCATAAAATAAGGCACAACGAAAGCAAAGATAAGGTTATACATATAAATTATATACCCTGGATAATATGGCGTAGGAAGAAGAAAAGCGTCGCCTTCATCAGCGAGACAAAACATGAGAGTTTCATTAGCTGAAGTTGCACCAGCAGTGAGGACTATATGATTTGGGTCAAAAATTACTTTGTTTCTTCGGATTTCAGCCATGAAATCAACCAATGCCTGTTGATAAAAAATAATCAAAAACCCAATGAAATTGAAAATAATGGGATTTTTGTTCGAGAAAAAGCTTACATTTTTTAATGCAGGTAAGCCATGATAATCTTGGAAAAGAGCAAGCTCTTTGAATATGGATTTGCCATCTCTTTTCAAACTAACTGCGTCTGGGTTTTTCACCAGCCAAGATTCAAAAAGATCAAAGCAGAGCTACAAAAAAATCCAACAAAAATAAAACAAATGTAAGAGAATCCATTGAGATATGAAACTTCATTGTTTTTCTGGGTTCTTTTTTTTACCTGATTTTCTGCAAGACCCATTTGGATGATTCCTTTAGGGTTGGTGACTTCATGGTAAGGGTTATTCTCGTATTCCTGCCATCCTAGAAAGTAAGAAGAATCTTGCCCATGAGAGTTGCAACTGGCTTTTCTTGACAACAACCCCATTTTTCCTTCTAAGATATTGAAAAAAAAAATCTCAGAAGCTCTAGTTTAAGGTTGTGAGGGAATGAGTTTGATCGGTGATTGTTTAGTCTGGTGAGGGAAGAAGTGTTAAAGCAGAGAAAATTGTTTGCAGTGGTGTGGTCTATTGCACTTGAATATATAAGGGTCTTGCAAAGGAGAATAAAGCTAAGCAGTAATGTTAGGTGAGTTAAAATAAAAATAATTTTTTTAGAGGAACAAATAAACTTTTACTACGATTCTTAATAATAAAATCAAAACTGAAGAAATCATTTTCTATTATACTCAAAATTGAAGTGACATTACAATAATTGAAGTGGGTAATTCGTGAAAAAAATGTTATTGATGTTCAAAATTTTTGAATAAGTTTTTATTATGATTATAATACATTTTTTCCCTCTCAGTTTTAAGATTTTTTTTGACTAATCCGGCGACCAGCGTCGCTCTCTTTATTTTGGTGGGTGAGTCTCCCAGCACGGATTTTCTGCATACACAATGAGTCGAGCTCGAGACCTCACTTAAACGATATCAAACTGCTTACCACTTAAACCAATCTCTGTTGGTTTGATAATAATAATTATTCTCATTAAAGATAAGTTTTTTATATTTAATATTTTATGTTTATTAGTAGAAAATAATCAGTTCTATAAATGATATAAAATATGGTCTTATATGCATTTACAAAGTTTTAAAATAAAATATTAGAAATGAAATATAAGTATCATTCATATTAACATAATTATACAAACGAACTTTATCACAACACAAATAAAATATATAATTATCTTTCAAAATGAAAGAATTTATTTAAAAGTCCAAAGTACGAGTAAGTCAATATAATGATTAAATAATTTAACTTTATCTCTTTCCTTTACAAAATCAAGATTAAAATATAATACAGAGGTGACAAATACAACCATATTTTCTTAAGAAATTATTACTTATTATAACAAAATAAAATAAAAATTTATACCTACAAAACAAATTCTAAAAAGTGAAAAATAAAAAAAGTGAAAAAATGTAGAGCAGTGAATATGGAAAGAAAAAAAAGGGACCTATGATTGATTTTTAAATCGGCAATAACTATAATTGATTAAATTTATTCATTTTAATTAATAAAATGAATATCTACTAAAATTAAATTAGTTATATAGTCCAAATTAAATTTATTACGCATAGTAATATGTTAAAAATTACTATAATCTAGAAAATTATACCGACAGCAAATAGCATGATTGACCCACAACAAAGTGTATGCTAAATTTGGGATCTATAGGTCATATGTAGGGTGCAACTCTGGTCCATATGCCCTTTCTTTTATTAACCCATCGAACCCTCATGTCGCCACTAGAGGTGCATATTGCCGGTTTGAAAATAGTTCATTTTGTTATTTAAAAAATAATAAAACAATATTAATATTTTTATATTATTATAATTAAATGAAATGAATTAGTTTTATTTTCATAATTTAAAAAAAAACTCAAATTAAAATTCATTTTATTTAAAATTGTAGTATTCTATATTTGAATAAGTGAAAAGCGGTATAAATAAGTGGCGAACCTAAGAAACTAGAAAATAAAAGTTCAAAATTTTAATATTCTCATTTCTAAGGAAAAAAATGAGTATATAATTTTTTTTATTTTTTATTCGTTTTAATATATTAAATTAAATTTAATAATTTTTTCAAGATAATGAGTATGCAATTGAATCTCATCAAAACCATATACATCTGCACCTTGTATAAATGGAGAAGGAAACAAGAGCTTAAACACGTTAATATATAGAGAGAATGGAAGTCGTCGTTGAGATATTTATACTTGGTCCTTGGGGTGCCCGAAAAGTTACCAACTCAGATTCATCCTCCAACTCAGCAAGCATATCACACCAACCCAGCAACTCAGCAAGCATATCACACCAACTCAGCAACTCAGCAAGGAAGATTCATCCTCCAACTCAGCAAGCCTATCAAATCCAGAGGAATTAAGATTTGATTTATCACACTAACTTCTCTTCTTTCTTTTTCTTCAATCAAAAGTGGACTCTTTATTTATGGTCGCATCCCGTTGTTTCCGATTTGGGACTTGCATCCAAGCCCATTCGTACTCCGATATAATTTTAGGATAAATTGCATATTTAGTCACTCAATTACTTTTTTAGTTATATTTTGATTATCTAATTATTCTTTTTAAACTCATACTTAAAGTCACTTTTTGTTTTGTTTCGGTCATCTTCCGTTAAAAGATAAAAATTATTGCTGAAGTGAATTTTTTTTTTAATGATGGTGTGATATTATCTTATGGTGATATGTCAATAATTCTATTTATTCTTAACGGCGTGTGACAAGAACGAAATCTCATTTTCACTTCTAAATCTAAATAAAATTCTCTTTATTCTATTAAAATGGTCATTTATTGATATTTGATAGTTAAATTTTTATCATTTAAAAATTATTAATAATAAAAATTTGAGAAAAATATATTTTAAAATTTTAAATTAAATATTTTTTTAATATATATTTTATAAAATTTAATTATTTAAAATAAGTATGGTACAAATTTTAAAAAAAATTGAGCACGATAAAAAAAAGTATTCTTAAACTATAAGTGAAAGAAAATTATTCATACCCCGTACTGATATCGGAATCCAAATAAGATATTTTCTTCATCCTATTAAAACTATTTTTTATTGAACTTTAGTGGTCAATTTTTTTAATTTTTATTATTTAAAATTTATTATTGATAAAATAAAAAAAAACATTTTTAAACACCTAGAGAGAAGTAGTATATATATATATATATATATATATATATATATATAATTTAATTATTTAAAATAATTATGAACCAAACTTGAAAATTTTGTTCACCAATAGACAAAGTAGTTCATAATTACTTGATCTTATTTAGGTTGAAACGGTTATTGAAAAACATATCTCTAACCCAAAGTGGCGAACACGAAAGCACAGTGAACAAGCCAGTCATGTGGCCGAATACTATCTGCTTTGGTGGCTTACGACTCAAAACCTTCTTCACTACATGTCTAGCAAACATCGTCGCATCCGTTGCCTTCGAACCTTGCGACGCCCTGGCTCTCTCAGCAATGGAATCCTTGAATTCCTTATAAAGTTTCCAGTCATTGTTTCTGAGATTCTCGAGGCTAGAGTTTCCGAAATTCGATCTTATTGCACCGGGCACCACGAGGACTACATCAATGCCAAAGGGCCTTAATTCAACACGCAAGGTGTTGGTCATGGCATGGACAGCAGCCTTGCTAGAACAGTATGACCCCGCCCATGGTGTCGGCACCTTCCCGACGACGCTCCCTACGTTTACTATAATTCCCTGACGCCTTGATGCCATGTGAGGCACAACTTGTTGCACCATCCTCAGCTGCCCCAGTGTGTTGATTTCCCAAGCTCTCTGGATTGCATCTAGGGAAAGCTCGGCTAACGGTCCGGTGCTTCCTATTCCCGCGTTATTTATGAGTAAATCAATGCGGCCATACTTGGATATAACACCATCCACAGCTGACGACACGCTCTCATCCGATGAAACATCGAGCTCTATTGTTTCGATTTTATCGGAATCGTAATCTACCATGTCATCCTTGCGTTGAGGGATGTCGGAGGCAATGACACGGCAACCCTGCTCATTAAACGCCCGGCAATACTCATATCCAATGCCACCTTTGGCACAACCGGTGACTAGAACAACCTTGGGCTCGTGCATTTTCGGTTGTGTTGGTATTATTGTTTGATTGTTTCTTTTATAATGGATTGGTAGTGCAGAATATTGTATCCAACAAGGCTTTGTTTTTCTTGTTTATTACTATGACTTCAAATGGAGAATATGCCTTGAGGCATATGCTTGATTACATCAAAATTGGCCTGCAAAATTGGAGCTTGGTGGCTTGTTCGTTTCGAGTATGACTTCAGACGGAGAATATGCCTTGATTTTAATTTTGATTTAATATTATTCTTTAGAATTTCATAAACTCGACTCGAAAAAATTTAAATTTAAATTAAAGTTTAAGTTTAAGATATGATTAGTCAATTCCACTAACTCGAAATTTTAACTAAATAATCATATCTTTATAGATACGTCTACAGTTTTAAATAATCACATATAGCCAGCTCACTTTCTAATTGGCAAATCGAACAGTTTACAGAACACTTCATGGCTCATGCAACCGGAGTTTCGCAGCAAACATCAAAGATATCGTCTAAAGGAGTATGATCGCCGGTCCCTTCGTCTTTTCGTGCATATAACAATTGTTTACCTTTGAAGACAAACATCCCTCCCTGTTAAAAGAACCGAATCAAACCCAATCGATCATCCAGCTGATATATACCGGAGCACGGATCATGAGGATTGGTAAGAGAAATTCACAAACCTGTTGTAATACACTGCTAACGTCGTCTGGAGTTGCACTGATGGTATAGTTTTCCATAGCTTTCTTCACTTCATCAAGTCTTGAGAACACCTTTGCCTGTCCATACATATGAAATTTATACAAATCGGTTAACAAGTGTCTTTCTATGAACAAGAAATGTACTTTCTTACAAGATGAGAATGGAAATTACACTGGCTGGATTGCAAGACCATAGTATAAACCCAGAACATCATATGCCTGAAAGACAACATGATTAATGAGCATAACATATACTTTACTCCAAATCGTCATTTCTCTCCGGAGTATATTTTATATATCATCCTTGAATACATGAAAATTTTTAGAAGTGATATACGTTCGAAGAAAACTCTCCGAAAGACTCAATTCTCTGAACAAAACCTTTGAAAGTTCACCATAAACATCACATCACTTTCGGAACTTTTCACGCCGGGATCGTCCTCTGGAGTCTATTATGCCTTGTTTTTGACGTGATCTTTGACATAGTCAAATATGATAGTTGACAGACGTATCTACATAATATGTCAGCCTATTAACAGACATTATGATCTTAGGCTTGATATCGGTCATCCTATAATTAAGATATTTATTCCCCCAAGGAAAGACTGAAAGGACTCTCTCTCAACTCCATCTCACACTTACATTGCTTATTTCCTTCTACCTTCACTCTTCTTCTCACATAGATTAACCACCAGTCCACGATCGAATCTTACCGACTACTGCTCCTCACTAAAACCAGAAGAAAGTGAATCGTCAACAGTTGACGAAAACAATTTATTCCTATCAACAAGAATATATAGCATCAAACACATACCCGTATCCTATATTCACACTCAAGTCCGTATAACATAGCAACATAATGTTACCTTGCGTTGAGGATCAGCTTAAAGGGAGTCCATTGGAAAGGGTACCTGCAAATTCCATGAATTCCAGTAGGGGTGTTCAAAATTCGGTTTTAACTGAATTAACCGATCGAACCGAATTAGTTCGGTTAATTCGGTCAGTCACCGAATTAATTCGGTCGGGGAACGGTTAAGGATTTTTTTGAAATTCGGTTAACGGTTAATTCGGTTCGAAATCGCTTAATTAACCGAATTAACCTTTAAATATAATTATATTAAGAGGCTCAATCTATTTAAAATCCATTTAAAACCCAAACCAATATTAATTAATTAAAATAATATCAAAACTAAATGCAAAATGTTTGAATCAAATTAATTAGATATTATTTATAATTAGATATTATTTAAATTAATTGTAAATTATTATTTTTAATTAAAAAATATTAAATTCTAAAATTCTAAAAAAAATTGTTAATTCGAAAATTAACCGAAATTTATTCGGTTCGGTTAATATTTTCGAAAAAAAGTTCGATTCGGTTAACGGTTAAAGAAAAAAAATTCGGTTAATTCGAAAATGATAGTTCGGTCGGTTCGACCACCGAATTAACCGAATGAACACCCCTAAATGCAAGTGGTAATTAGTTGTTGCTGAAGACTGCTATCGAATAGAGCAAAATCACAACTGATAATTTGAGAAAATAAAAATAAGATAAAAGAGACACAAAATTTACGTGGAAAACCCCTAAATAAAATAGGGTAAAAACCACGGGCAACAGTAGAAGAATTTCACTATGAGAAAATAGGAATTACAACTTCTCCCTATCTACCAAGGAGAAAACAATGATAATTCTCTCTTGATAAAAAGGAGAAAAACAACTCTCAAGAAACTCTCTAAATTCTCTAGTATTGGAAGAAAGCTAGAATACTTTGGGATGGTTTTAAAGCTAAATGGGCTAGGGTATTTATAGCTAAATCTTAAGGACTTAATCTTATAAATACCTTAAAGCTTAGTGATTAAATTTTGTAATTATACCTTACTAAAATCAACCAAAGTTGGCTGCCCACTTAGACTAAATTAGCAGCCGGCTGCTACCACAATTATTGACAATCTCCCACTTGAAGATTTGATTGGAATAATAATATATTCACACCATTCTTTCTACCTTGTACCATCATGTTGCTTACGTCTCTAACAGGCCACAAGAAGATCGACACCGGGTAAATTTATCAGCGTTGATCGCCTTCGTCATGAAATCTGCTATGTTGTCTTTGGTATGGATATTATGCATATCTATCGTTCCTTCTTCCACCTTTTCACGAATGAAATGGTACTGAACTTGTATGTGCTTTGTTCTTGAATGAAATACTGGATTCCTTGCTAGATGCAAGGCGCTTTGACTGTCACAAAACAGAGAAACATGCTCTTGATTGTGCCCAAGCTCCTCCAATAGCATCTTCAACCAAATTGCTTCTTTACTGGCTTGTGTAGCTGCTACATATTCTGCCTCTGTTGTGGATGTAGCCACAACTGACTGCAATTTTGAAACCCATCTTACAGCTCCACCAGCAACTTTAAACACATATCATGTAGTAGATTTGCTTTTATCCAAATCTCCTGCATAGTCAGAATCTACATACCCATTGATTAGTAAGTTTGATCCTCCGTAACATAATGCAATATTTGAGGTCCCTTTGATGTATCTCAGGATCCTTTTTACTGTATTCCAATTCTCTTTGCCTGAATTCGCCATGTACCGACTAACCACTCTCACTGCTTGTGCAATGTCTGGTCTTGTGCATATCATAGCGAACATCAAACTTCTCACTGCTGATGCATACGGCACTCGAGACATCTCCATCCTCTCTTCTTCACTGCTATGACTCATACTGGAGGATAATTTGAAGTTAATAGGAATAGGGGTATAAATTGGCTTACAATCTTGCATGCTGAATCGTGACAAGATCTTCTTCAAGTAATTCTTTTGTGAAAGCCAAATTTTCTTATTACTTCTATCTCGGTGAATTTGCATCCATAGAATCTTGTTTGCTGATCCGAAGTCCTTCATTTCAAATTCCCTAGCCAGTTGTGCCTTCAATTCTTCAATATGATCTTTGTTGGGTCCTGCAACCAATATGTCATCCACATACAACAGTAATATAACAAAATTGTTATCACCAGACCTCTTGAAATAAGCACAAGGGTCTGCATTAAGTCTGTTGTATCCAAGGCACATAATGAAGGAATCAAATCTCTTATACCAACACCTCGGCGCCTACTTTAGACCGTACAGAGATTTGTTCAACCTGCAAACCAAGTTTTTCTTTTCGTCTTCTTCAAAACTTCAGGCTGGAGCATATAAATCTCTTCTTCAAGATTTCCATGAAGAAAAGTTGTTTTAACATCTAGCTATTCCAGATGTAAATTCAATGTAGCACACATTGCCAAGACTACTCGAACTGTTGTTAGTCAAACCACATGAGAAAAAATTTCATTGAAATCAATACATTCTTTCTGAGCATATCCTTTGACCACCAGTCTTGCACGATACCTCTCCACTTGATCGTCACCATTTCGCTTGATTTTGAAAACTCATTTGTTACCAATTGGCTTCCTTCCTTGTGGTAGTGACACAAGGTCCCATGTATTATTTTTATGAAGGGCTTCAATTTCTTCTTGCATCGCCATCATCCACAATGAAGCATTTGAGCTGTTTATTGCCTCCTGGTATGTTGATGGCTCACCGTCCTCTGTCAAAAGACAGTATGCAATATTACCTTCTATAACATAATCTGAGTGCCAATTGGAACGTCTTCTCACACGATCTGATTGACGAGTTGTTGGAGCTTCAGAACTCTCTGATTCTTGTTTATCATGTGCTGGTTCCGCTTCAGAAGAATCTCCTTGTTCAAACTCCTTTTCCACATGTATCTGTGTAGTCTCTGACTTTTCAGCGCTGTCATCATATTCTTTTCTTTGTAGCTTATCTTCTACAAAGATAACATCCCTACTAATGATCACTTTGCGGGCAGTGAGATCCCACAAGCGATACCCCTTTACTCAATCAGCATACCCCAAGAATTTGCATTTCTTGGATTTTGGATCCAGCTTTAAAATTTCTTGGGCATTGTACATCACGTACACTATACTTCCAAATACATGGAAGTTTGAATAATCAACTGGTTTACCAGTCCACATCTTCATTGGTGTCTTCAGCTCTATTGCAGTTGATGGAGCTCAATTCACCAAATAACAGGCGGTATTGACTGCTTCTGCCCAGAATGATTTTTCTAGGCCTACGTCCCTCAACAATGCTCTTGTTCTTTCTAACATGGTTCTGTTCATCCGCTCTGCCACTCCATTTTGTTGAGGAGTGTTCGCCACTGTAAACTGTCTTTTGATGCCTTCTTTCTTGCAAAAGTCATTAAATTCTTCGCTTGTGTATTCTCCTCCATTATCTGTTCTGAAACACTTGATC